ATGATGATGGCAGTCGATTTGAACTAGAGCAGATTTGTAGTATATTCACCTGGCACCAGCTCACATAAAACAACTGGACTATTGTTTCCGGTTATGAAAAGTTGTAGTGTAGTTGTAGTGGCTGTAGGTTTTGAATGACAAATCTCTGACCTGGTTTAAGGGTTATTTTCAAAACCAAGTACAATGCTTAGAATCTGATAAATTCTCATTTCCAGTCATAAAAGGTCAGCCACTCAAGGCTGTTTTCGAAGATCAGATATTGTTGCATTAATATTAAAAATACAGACTGCGTAACAGGCTACTCTATTGTTTTTTTTTCTGACGATGACACTCCTTTTATCACAGAGCCCTTTAGAATTTGACTTTCAGGTTAATTTTGATAATAATCAACAAACATGCTTTATTAATTTGACAACTATTTGTGGACATATTTTTTTCAGTTTGTGTCTGTAAACAATGACCGAATGAATTCAAATTACACAAAAATGAAATTGTCTAAGGATGCTGTTAGTTGTATAGCTGACTCAATGCTAGTTGATGTATATACAGTAACATCTACACATTTGCGAGTAGTTTATTATTATTAAGTTTTAAAAATTGCTTTACTTCTTGCTGTTTCATTACTATGTTGTGCCTTCAATTGTAGTGGTGTGGCTAAACTGTCCAGGGATACAAACAATGTTTACTCAATCCTTGCATGTAAAGATTTAGATCTATATGTTAAATGTATAGAAGGATTCAAAACAATTTCCAAAAGACACATAAGAAAATAAAAATACAATATACAGAAAACAGTACATATGGTAGTGTGTTAAAGGAAGGCAAACCAACATCAACATCATAAATAATTATTTCCATGGGGAAAAGTAGCATCTATCTTGGTTTGGGACTAATTTTCCTAATAGATGTGGATAATAACATGCTGCTTAAATAATGACTCATGCTGATGCAAGTTTGAGGGGTCCTTTAATGAACTGACACTGACGTTTTCTGTTGGGTTGTGTTTTTTGCTGCAGGGTGGCTTTGCCCCAGCTGGCACTGAAGGGACATATTTGTTACAGAGGAGAAACAACAAGAGACACCATGTTGTAATTAGGAAGATAGCTGAAAGAGGTGAAAATACCAGACGCTTGCCGTGCTAAAGTGCTGCACAGCTCTGGACTGAAAACAGCCATCTTTTAACAATCTGAAAAGGAACATTTAGTTTTGCCACAAGTATCGGTTTTTCCCAGCTCCAAACATAAAACTTAGAACGGACTTGCAGTGATTTTTATTATTGTTATTTTTTTTATTGTTCTTACACAAACAAATCCCAGTTTTAGTGTGTGAATGAACTGACCGAATAAGATGTGCAGGATAACCTCCAACTATTAAAATATGTTTAGAAATATATAGAAATGGAAATGGCACATGTCACAAATAAGTGAAAGGACTGTTTTTTTATTACAGAATGTATAATCTACTATAATGTTAAAAATACATCAAAATTGATTTTTGGAAACTAAAAAAGGAACTAGAATGAAAAATGTTCTTTAACAACAGTGGTAATTAGTTCTGGAAAGTAGAAATGTGATGAGAGAGTGTGGCAAGGTACTGATGACTCTGACTCTTGTTGAGAAAAGGCTGTGGTCACAGTCTTTGAAGTATAGGTGCTAAGCAGAACATTTGGGTAAGTGTCTGAATAGGTTTCACACTCCCATATTCCAAGAGAAGAAACTTGAAAAGAACTTGAAGAGTGTATATAAGAGGTGACCTATAAACCTTCGTAATAAACACTTATCTGAAGGTTCAATATCAGCAGCTGTAAAATCCATAATCGAAAGAAGAAAATTATGTAACAGAGTGATTGCAGATCCTATTGCTCATTAGTTTATTTCTTCATCTTTACCTTCTTTTTTTTTACAACAGTACATTATTATTACTGTTCCTCCCACAATAACATGGGATACTGTTATGTATGAATGGGTTTATGCTAGCATCTTGTGGACAGTTCTAGCCTTGTTCAAAATACAAGATTCTGGACATTGCCTATTGGTGTCCACCCTGTAGTCTCAGGTATTACTGAACTGCTTCAGTGTGTTTTGTTAGCAGGCTGTATGCGATGTTACTCTGACATTCTCTGGCTAGTCTTTATGGTCATTTGCTTTCATTATGATGATGATACAAGTGCTCATTTGTAGCAGTTTTTTAGCAGTCACAACTATATGTTTTCAAGGGGAAGATATTTCATATGTACTCCCTAATGTTCTTTGTATGATGTACAAATAAATCATTCTCCCTCCACTCAGGTCCACTGTGTTTTTTTGAGGATGGCTCACTTAGTGAATCTCCGACTAAAATATCTAGTTTTAAATGGTCATACAGGTCAAATAATTTGTTTAATAAAGAATCCAGTTGTGGAAGTCAGAACTCAGCTGGGAAAACAAACAAACAGACACAGGGATATTTCAATCCATAGTAAGCAGTACTGCTACATAATGCAGGCCAGGACTTAAAAAAGTGTGAATTTCCATTCAATTAAAAAAACATATTAAGTGGTGGATCTGTGGCTAAGGATCTGCGCCTGTGACTGGAAGGTTGCCGGTTCAAATCCTGCAGCCGGCAGAGGAATCCTACAACGTTGGGCTCCTGAGCAAGGCCCTTAACCCCAACTGCTCCAGGGGCGCCGTACAATGGCAGACCCTGCGCTCTGACCCCAAGCTTCTCTCCCTGTCTGTGTGTCTGTGTCTCCATGGAGAAAAGCTGGGGTATGCGAAAAGATGAATTCCTAATGCAAGAAATTGTATAGGCTAATAAAGAAACATTATCATATAAAAAAAAAACATTATCATAGAGGAGGTTATATTAAACTTTAGAGGAGAAAATGTTAAGCACTGGGACTGTGCAGTGAAATATCTTCCTTCAGATGTCTCTGAAACCAAGCTGACCAAGCTCACAGCCATCATAAACAATGCCTCTCATCCGCTTCATGGGACTGTTATTGGGCAGCGGAGCACTTTTAGCAACAGACTGCTCCAGCTACGGTGTTCAAGGGAACATTTCCGCAAGTTTTCCTCCCAGCGGCTGCCAGGGTGTATAACGCTGCCCTAGGCTAGGACTGTTAGCCCTTCATTTGCTCCTCTATGGACAGCATGTTGCTCCATTGTACTTTTTGGACAATCAATCTGTATAAACCTATGCACATTTTGCACATATTTTATTGTTTTTACAGTGACTATAATCATCATATTTTGCACATAAATACATGTATTTATTTTTATTTATTTTAAATTTATTTTGTATAACTTTTTATCTATTCTGATGTCTGTTTTTGCTTGTCTTGGGCTGGACTGCTGTAACACATCAATTTCTTTACGGGATCAATAAAGTCTTATCTGTCTATCTAGCTATCGATCGATCGATCTATTTATCCCTATAAACTGGCAGAAATGTAGCCATCAAGATACTTGGCCACAGACTGTTAGCTGGATTGCAGCCACCAGGGGTGAGCTAGTGTCTGATGATATCACCTGTCACCTGACATCAGCTGTGGAAATCTTTCCTCATTGACTCGCACTTAACAACACCATAAATCTCTTAATGAACTATACTGGAGTTAATAAGATGAAATTTTTATAACCAATAAACTAGGTTTATTGAGTCACTTGACTCAGTACAAAGTGTTTATCTCAAATATTTCACACAATGCTTCCCAGTCAAATCATTAACAAAATGAAATACAAAATTAAAATTAAAACCATGCAGCTGCAACTGATAAACGCACATCATCCTGCAAAAGGACGTACTGTACGGTACCTATTAGGCTCTGTGAAAAGGAAGCACAGAAAAGAAGAGCAGGATAAGCAGTCTTAAAACAAGTACACCATATCAAGTCCACAACAATACCTTCCAGTCTCGACCCACTCTGCCACCAGCAGATCTGTAGTAGTTCTGCTGGGTTCTAAGGGCTTGTGTTATATACTGGTGGTGATTTTTCATTTGTTAATCATAACTCAGAAATCATTGATCTTCACTGAACTGATAGATTACCCATGTTGCTGTTACAGTACCTTGATGTACCAGACGCAGGGATACAAGCAGTCATGCCTCTTATGAACTCAATCACATCACCCCTTTCTCCCACAACATGGAACACCAAGGAACAGGCTTAGTCTGCTGCTACTTTATATTTATTCCTCAGGAATTGTTAGACATTACGTGCTGGGATTTACTCAATAATTAGTTAATAATTAGCCATTCCATGGATTATAATCTGTAGTATTTTGATAGCGTAGTGTATATTCTATTTTTAGACATTTCAGTAGTTTTAGTGTTAAATAAAAAAATCGAATTGCCACATTTGTCTTATTAATTGGGTTCCAGTGGCATAAGGAGGCTAGTTTAGCTTTTTATCTGACTGACGATTTAGCCGTTTGTCTTCTGTCTGTCAACACCTGGAATGAATCATCTGGGGGTATTGATCAGTGGTTTCTTGAATCATGCAGAAAATATTTTTAGCAACACAAAAAACAGTTGTGATGTCCAGTTATGTTACATCCAGTAGAGTCCTTGTGCAAAAAACACAGTGAAGAGGGATTTATGCTGCAAAGAAGCCAACACTTTCAGGCAAATATATTTTCTCTATCTGGATAAATTCCGTATACTGTATATAAATCCAATATATAAACATTTCCTTCAAAATGTATGATGTGCAGATAAATCAAGAACCAACAAAGCATATGTCTTCCAGTTTGTTTTCCAAACTGTTTAAAAGACATCTCTTTCTGAGGCTGGCCACATATCACGAAGAGGACATAATATAATGCAAACTAGGTAGGTAACAGCTGAGTGATGTTGACAGAATACATGATTTTTCACTTTTTTCATTTTCTCAAGGCTTCAAGCTTTTTTTCTAACCACTCCTGAGAAGAGTTCAGGACTTTAACCACATGTAAGTACTGCACACCCTTTGTATGTCCCCAGAGAGTCTGATTCATAGACCATTCAACAGAAAAACAAAATACAACACGAAATAAAGAATAATTTTATTGATATGCACAGATGTGCAGAACATAAGTTTCTGATTTGCTTTATTCTCCCATAATGTATCAACATTTGCTTTTTAAACACTACTCCTAGTTTACATTTTGCATATCAATATACAGGTTTTAAATCTCTTACCTTTCATTTGCATAACATTCTCATTAGCGCTCTGTCAATTTTCAACATCTTTTTGTTTCCAAGGCTTCATTTTCAGATGGGCTTGCCTGCCACAACAGGGCAGGACTGAGTACAAACAGTTGGCTTCCTGTACCCTACACATTTCCTGTCTTATACTGTAGATATTACGACGTCACTCGGGAATCACTCTCTTCTTCTTTGAGAGGTCAGTTAGGGCCCTAATAGTTAGAGCACAGGAAGACGGCTTAGGAGGGGAAACCAACTGTTTATTCACACACTGACTCTGTTGTTCACAGGCATGTGAAGATGACTATAAGGTTTTAAAGACCTGTTAGAGGCAGCAGTTGAGACTAAATTTTGTTTTTTTCCTACAGAGAGTGCATAAGGCGGTGTGAAACCTTCTTCACAAAATGCTGCTGAAAAAGACTTGAGCTTTCATTCATTTATGGAGCCACATCTGAGTGATGTTCAGAATGCCTGTGTCCACATTGCACTTCCACATTATTGCCTTTACACAAAAGAATTGTACAAAGCAAGATTAAAAGCCATTAAAAGTTCTCAAGCTCAAAAAAGGGACATACGTTATTGTATCATGAATGCCTAATTACATAAGCCCTTCCTTGGGAAAATCATAACCTTGGAGGCCTTGTGGATAGTTACAGAAGTGTGACAAAGTGTAGAACAGTGCAGGTCCTTGAGCAGCTGTTGACTTTAACCTCTAGGTATGTATTAGCTTCTAATAAACCGGAAAGATAAGGGTGAAGAGTAGAGAGGTGCAATAAATGTCCTAATTTTTCAATGTTTACATTTGTAGAATTCAAAACACATCCTTGAGAAGGAGATGAAAAAACCCAAAGCCCAGGCTTAGCTAGACAGTCCATGGATAGCCTATATAAAAAAGAAAAAGAATTAGGTACAGAAACAAGGAATCTGCTGAATTGTCAGAGTTTTCTGTGTGAAGTGCTTGATGTGCCACACGTCAGGCGGGGCAGTACTGTTGCAGAACCAAACTGCCTACAGTGTGTGTGGCATTCTTGCAAGTGAGGAATAAATCAAATAAAACCAATAATAATTGGCACATACCATAAATGTCTCTTCTGCTACAAACACATTTATTCGCTTAATTAATATAATGATAATGTCTATTCTAATGCTACTTTATACCCCAGCTGCAAAAGTTCAAATCCATCTACAAAATGATACAGTATATTAGCTTTGTCTGTTTTCCTTAAGTGATATTACATGTATATATATATATGATATTTGTACAATTTGGGGGTTAACAGACTACTAGAGTGATATTACATTCTCAGCTTTGGGAACCCTGTTCTGGGTCCTGGACTGTACACATCTGCAGATTCTGTGCCTGACATTGGAGAAGGTCACTGCTCTACATTGAGAGAGTGGAATCTTTCTAACCACAGTGACATGAGCAGAAGTAAGATATATGATTCACACAATATCACTGGTTTATTAAAACATGGGACAAATGTAAAGCGTTGATATGTTTTTACAGAATAACTTATTCCATAAAGTCAAAACCTGTCAAACAGTGGCCCACTAGCCTTCTGACGTTTCATACACACTATTTGAATTGAACAAATTATCTAATTAATGGGTCAGAACAACATCATTTCCAGTCTGTAGAAATGTTTCGATTCTGTCTGGTAGCAAAAGTTAGAAATGTTTAATTTTAATAAGTGAATGAAGGTAAGCATCTACTAAATGGTGCACTGAACATATTTCTAATATTTGAAGATTACCTTTGATGTATTACATCTCTTTTGTTTTATAAAGCATATTTTCAGTACATACTAGGATAAAAGTCAATGTTTCTGATAAATACTTTTAATTTAAGTGAAAGAAAAGAGTACACAAGGCAATGATCTTTCTGACTTACCCTTCTTTGATTGTCATAAGTTTCTTCTGTTTCATCATCGGTGAAGGTCAGAGGCTCCTCGGAATCCTGCATCAAAGAGATCTATAGAAAAAAAGGGAAAAAAAGGAAATACAAAATTTTTCAAGTAAAACGGAAAAAAAACTTCAAAAAAAAAAAGAAGCCCGGAAAAAAAAAGGGGGCCCCAAAGCCAATTAATTTCCAACGAAAAAAAAAAATCCTAACCTTTCAAAAAATGGAACCTGAAAAGCCCCAATTAAAAGTTGCAACCTAAAAAAAAAGAACGCCGCAAGAAAAAAAAAAAAAAAAAAGGCCTTCCTCAACACCGCAACAAAAAAACCAAAAAAATCCAATTTTTGAACAAATTCAACCAAAAAAAAAAAAAAATTTTGCATTATTCACAAATATGATGCAAACAGCATTGTAATACCAGATATCTATGATTTTCAAATTAAAATAATGATATAGTATTAAACAAATGACAGATGTACCATTGAATGTATTCTGCAGCAGTCTGCAAACTCTGCATTTCAGAGTCAAGTATTTGAAATGATTTTGCAGTTTTTGTTTAATAGACTAATATAATACAAGTGAAAAATCCCTCCGGTAGATTAACATTTATTTAAACATTCACTATAAATTAAAATATTGATATCATACCATCATATCCAGCGATATAGACATTCACACCTATTTTCTGAAATTCTTTAATGACCTGTTAGGACATGAAAAATAATTAGGAATCTGTATAATGAACAGTTTTATACAGGTAGCCATTTAAACTCTTAAGCATATAATTGCTTTGGGGGTTTAGCACAATGTTTTGATGATTGGCAAAACACTGTGCTAAACCCCCAAAGCAATTATATGTGCAATACTTTGAAATGCCATAAAAACAGCAATCAGAAAACTATAACATCTCTACTGTGAAAGCAGTAGCATTACTGTGAATTAATACGATTTGTCTGTTAGGAAAGGTCTTTGGATCTGAAAACGTGCAGAACGGATTTACGTACCAACTTTAAGGACTTCACAGATACGACGTCAAGAAAGGATGCCGCAGAAAAGTCCAGGATGAGGCTGTGGAAGCTGACTTTAGGCACTGCCACCTTCACTGGCAGGTCAGAATCCCAGTCCACTCGTATCTCCACCTCTGTGGTGGGAATACTGCTCTCCTCCATCTCCTCCAGCTCCTTCTCCATCTCAAAGCCCTCGTTATCAATCCCCATGGTAGACACCACACCTTTCTAGTCAGAGAGAGCAGGACATCCACTTAAATCACAAGCCACAAAAACAAGGCTTGTTGACAGAGAGTGCAAGGGCTGTCATAGTTCTGTACAGAAGACAAAATCATCTTCAAAACTAGAGCCGTTTACTAGATGATTCTTGTTTCGAATTTTGTGGTGAGTTTTGCTACAAAAATAGTGTACGGTATTTAAAACTACACTAAAAAGAAATATACAGTACTTAGAATCACGGATGTTCTTTTTAGGTTTAACCATGTTGTCGCAAATTTTCCAAAAGCCTCCGTGAGATTCAATGAAAATGTTAAGCAAACATTCCCCCTAGTGGATAGAAATGTTATTGAAGTTAAAACTGCAGGTACTGGGAACATTCTGAACACAAACCTTTCCCTACAGATTCCTGCTATTGTGGGTCATGGAGGAGCTGGAGCCTATCTCGACAAACAACAGGCGCAAGGCAGGGTACCCCCTGGATAGGACACCAGTCCATCGCAGGGCAGACAGACAAACACACTCATACCTAGGGCCAATTTTCCAAGAAATCAATTAACCTACCAGTATGTTTTTGGATTATGGGAGGAAACCCATGCAAATACAAGGAGAAGAAGTAAACACCATGCAGATAGCACCTCAGGTCCAGAACTGAACCTAAGGCCCCACCTTCCAGAAAAAGCCTTCCAGAACTTGTGCTGAAAAACTCTGTTTTAGTAAAAACAGACTTGGCTCTTACACAAAATACTGTAGCTCAAGTCAGACAGGAGGCAACATGTTGACTTGGTAGAATCAGAATTGTTAAAGAACTGCATATAATATTTACCTCCCTAAAACATTAGGAAATGAAAATACATATACCACAAAGTAAAGAATTACAGAACATTCAAATAAAACATGTAAGCCAATACTTTTCTTTATTATTTGTCATGATGTTCTTAGCATCAGAAACATACACACACAAATCTTACCTTTGTAGCTCTTAACCTTCCTTTCTTAATGAGATTCTGGATCATCCTCAGTGCCTTTGTCCTCTTCTTCAACACTCGGGCAGCATCAACACCGACCTGAATCACAAATTTAGTTTAAAATGTTGTGGATTTCACACAAATTTGACATTTCTCAAGATTAGTGCTTCTGATGAAATCAACTTACTACTGCCTTCAAGCGGTCTTTAAAGTAGTCAATGTTAGCGAAGAAAATTGGTGAATTGCATTTGAAGATTTTGATTCCAGGTATTTCTGCAACCTGGAAAAAAACAACAAACAACATAATATGTACAGTACAGTATTTGATTAGGCACTGGAACATCAACAGAAATCGTGTTAATTAGGTTTTGAAAAACTCTATCTAATTGAACCTTTTTAATGAATTTTTGTGACACAGAAAGACTAATCCACACAGAATAGGAACCTAGAAAGTCTGTTTTAAAGGGAGTTCTTTTCTTTGAAAAGAAAAGAATTTATAACAAATATATATGCATATTCAATGTTATATACACAAGTTAGTGGAAGTGAAGGGTGTTTTCTGTCAGTGAAAAGGAATGTGTGTCTTACGTGCTTGTAGTCTTTGATATTCTTGTAGATATCTGTCCCTGGAAAGTTCCCCAGAGCAGAACAGGTGGGGCTGAGACCGAAGAGAAGAGGTCATTAGTGGCTGAGAAATACTTGAACACTCATAAACAGGGGAATGAAGTGAACATTACCTAATGTTATTGCTTTACTGAACATTGCTGAACATTATTACTTGAGAATGATAAAATAACAATACCAAACCAATCATACTGGATGCTTTCCATTAGGAGACACTCCCCTTTTATAGTCCTGAGCAATCCACGAGCCCTGAAATATCAGTGTGACTGTATATTTCCATGCCACCACCAGGTTTTTTATGTATGTGCAGAGAGCCTATAACATCAACCAGCACAGGTCTAAATGATATTTGACTCCTCCCCAAATCCATTGTCAAAAAGATTCAGATCTGTAAGTATTTCAGGGTTAAGTATTCGAAAGTAATAAGAACAGCAACAAACAGCTTTATATAGCACTTTAATCAGAAAGGATCCCACTGTGGTTTAAATATAAGGAGAGGACCCACATCATCCACGACTGAGCTGTAGCCCTTACCTGAATGATGCCTGGCAGCTAGTTTGCACAACCAACAATCCTGCACAAATATCAGGTGAATGGCTTCACCAGTTGAGTTGAGAGTTAACTTTGGGGAGTCCAGAGGGGAGGCTCAAAGAGGAATTTAACCATGACACCACGGTTAACACCAATACTCTTACAAACACTGCTATGGTATCTTTAATGTCCAAGTAGTCAGGACATGTTACTTACAACTGAGTTCTGTACACCACCGTGACCAACTCAAACACAAGACCTGCCAGCAGCCCAAGGTCAAGTCCCAGGATTATGCATCCAATGCAGGTGAAAACCCAGATTATCTGAAAAAATATACATTTAAGAGGTTCACGACGTCTTCTCAGAATAATAAAATTAAAAGCATTTGAGAAGAATATTTTAATATATTTTACACACCATTTTGAAGTTTAATCTCTAAATGCACAGGATTGTAGATTCCAATAAACAGCTGCAGCTCAGGTACTTACTACTGAACAGGACTGCACTACCCACAATCCTCCTGCATTACCGAATTGTCTTTTCCCTTAAGGAGCATTAGTCAGAGGTGGTTGAGGTTATTGTAGCTGTGAGCTAAAGAAAATACTCAGTTCAGAGCTGTTTAGCTCAGGCATACCCTACTGGTTGAGAGGAAATGAATCTGAGCGAATTATCCTTTTTTAGTTCCTGGTCAACTAAGGCTAAATAGGTTGCAGCTTGCAACTAACAAATAATCAATTATGCTTTCCTAGACTAGAAAAGCATAATTAGTGTAGACTAGTGTTCTGTGTTCAGCCGGCAAAATCCTATCACCACCTCCTCGCAGTGCTGGCTGGATACAACGATTCGTTGGAACTAATGGTGAAGGTCTCTGATGGCAGGCGGAGCGACGTGCCGGTTGGAGTATTCTTGGTCGCATTTAATGGCAATGTCAGCTCAAAGATTTGGTTCAAACAATCAAAGGGAGACGGGCGTCCTGACATGCGGACCCTGCTGATGCGGGATTAATGCTAGGATGAAGAAGAGTGTTCTGTGTTCCCCACATGATATTCACACAGATAATCCCTGACACAGACAGCTAGAATTCCCTCTTGGAGACTCTTAATATAATGGGCAGAAGTTAACGATTCAGTAAAAGGACCCCTAAATATAGTGGTATATTGGCCTAAATCACAATGCACATCAACAAAGGCAATAAAACTAGGCTACCTGGTCCATTATTAGAACTGCTGCTCTTTCCTATGTGTCAGTTCTAAATTCTGAAGAGGCAAAGAACTCTTGGAATTACTTCTCCATGAGAATAGTGAACTTCAATTACTTTGGATTGAACCCATGTTAGCCTGACATATTTTCCCCAGCAGAAAGGATAATACGGTTGTTGAAATCTTACAGAGTCTATTTTGTTCTGCCTCCACAGACGAGGAACATCCAAAACTTGCATGAACATTCCTTTCAGATTAGCAATGATGATGGCAGCCAAGACAGACTGCAAAAGAGAATTAGGTCTGAAGGTTATAACAAAAATAAAACATTTCAACCTACTGAAGTAAATTTCTATTACATGGTTTAAGAGGTTAACCTGATGTGAATAGAAGCAATTACACCTACCTTTTGAAGAGGTTCCAGCAGGCTGCCCAGTGCAAATATAACGACCAATACTAGTGCAGCTGAGATTATGCCAGCAATCTGATGGAAAAAGCAAAGCTCAATTTAATCTAAAATCTGATGGGAAAAATGGCAGCCTTTTCAATGGTGATTTTTTAATCTTGTACTTTTACAGATATCAAGGCATTGCACACTTCTTTCTGAAAAAAATGTTCTTCGTTCTCTGCTTCCTGCTACATTGCAAGAAATATTCCGGAATTAGAGAATAATTGATCTCCAAAATAAGAAATCAAAATCTGGAATGTTTACACCTGCGAGAATCAGAGCTGCATCTTATCCAACTAGGGGAAGGGGCAGAAAACTTAATAGTGCTGGCAGCCTGGTATATGATCTCCTGGCACAGCCTGAGTGAGCTCTCTTAAATAATATGTTGTTCTTATTGTAGTTGTTTTTAACTGTTTACTAATTGTTATCACTTTGGTAACTCTGTAATTTATTAGTCATACCAATACATTGATATGGTAGGTTATTTGGCTTCAGGGAAAATTGCTCCTGGTGTGACTGTGTGTTTGTGTCTGTGTGTGCCCTGTGAGGACTGCTGTCCCATCCAGGATCTATCCTGCCTTGCCCCCTTTGCTTGCCCAGAGAGACTATGGCACCCCTTGGACCCTGTACTTGATAAAGGGCTAGAAAATTGATGGATGGATTTGTATTCTACCCTGAGTTGAAACTAAGTGCTTGCCATACCTGTGTCTTTCCACCAGTGCTCTCCTGAACAGCTGTGCGTGACAGTGAAGTGGTGGCAATGAACCCAGAGAAAGCTCCCGTGAAAATATTGCAGATTCCAAATGAAATGAGCTCCTGGGAAATAAGATGTTGTTTGTCTTCATGTGCCCAAAGAATAACATTGGCTAGGACTGAGCTTCAATTAGATTAGGGGATGCAATATACATTTAAAATGCACCCAAGTAAAGGGGCTCTATAAACATACAGCTCCAGGAATGATCTACTCACTTCTTCCACAAATCAAGTGATCAAAATTTGTAGTGTCAAATGATGGGATTACTTTAGAATTCCATGTTTCTGATTCCATAGTGACTGTATTTTAATAGTTTTAATCCCTCTTTACATCCTTTAGAAATACTATTTATAAAAATAAACACTATTTATACATGACTATATTTCCTCCACCCTCTATGTTAAAGTAAATCTAAACAAAGAAACCCAGCACTTCAGCATCTTGGTCAATCTGCACATTCCTTTTGTTCTGCTTTTATTTTTATTATATCATAATATGGGAGTTTAGTGAGTTAAAAAAAGAGTTAGAACCAAGGCTGGCTGACAGGGAGAATTGCACATAAAACTGTAACAATATATAACAATTGTTTTAAGTATTACCCAGAGTACATTAAATGTAGTAAATGCCCTCATCGATACATGTATGTATATAACATGGTACATACACACTGCTTTCTCAGGGTTTGTTTCTCTATGAAGGATTACACTAATTGAACAATCTGCATTATGACCACATAAATAATATAGTCTAAAAGGATTTAGTGGGAGAATCTGATTGAGAGGGCACAATCACGGTACTAACCTGATTTCCATCTATGACGTAGTCATGCTTTGTAGCGTACACTTTACCTACAGAAACAGCCACAGCATACGCAACCACAGCCGTGGAGAAACTGGAGCTCGCAATGCTCGAGAACAACGTCACATCAGGGTTCTGAGGGGGCAGAAATCTAATACATACATGCAACTGTTAGAATAATTCAAATTTATCTATGTTGCTTTTGATAATAATAATAATAATAATTGCTTACACTTATATAGCGCTTTTCTGGACACTCCACTCAAAGCACTTTACAGGTAATGGGAACTCCCCTCCACCACCACCAATGTGCAGCATCCACCTGGATGATGCGACAGCAGCCATAGTGTGCCAGAACGCTCGCCACACATCAGCTATCAGTGGGGAGGAGAGCAGAGTAATGAAGCCAATTCATAGATGGGGATTATTAGGAAGCCATGATTGGTAAGGGCCAATGGGGAATTTGGCCAGGACGCCGAGGTTACACCCCTACTCTTTTCGAAAAACGCCCTGGGATTTTTAATGACCACAGAGAGTCAGGACCTCAGTTTTACGTCTCATCCAAAGGACGGTGCCTGTTTACAGTATAGTTTCCCTGTCACTATACTGGGGCATTAGGACCCACATGGACCACAGGGTGAGCACCCCCTGCTGGCCCCACTAACACCTCTTCCAGCAGCAACCTTAGTTTTCCCCAGGAGGTCTCCCATCCAGGTACTGACCAGGCTCACACCTGCTTAGCTTCAATGGGTTGCCAGTTGTGAGTTGCAGGGTGATATGGCTGCTGGCTAAAGAAGCAAGATTGCTACTGTACCTCCTATATTAAACTTTAGCCAAAAAGAACAACATAACTCTGTGCAGACTGCTCCTATGACAAAAGCTAAATTCTGCGTACCCTCTAGGGATGTTCTGTACAATGTTGGCATTATACTTTGACTTCAGGTCTACTCCATACGAAATGCCTGTTGCTATGATAGTCTGTAAAAGAAAACAACAACAGACAGCAGTTATCTTGTCACTAGCATTGGGAAGGTGATTTGGTAGGACAAATGGCAACATTGTGAACTGTAGGAAAGAGAGAATAGAGCACTATTTTAATCATCAGGTAAACACCCATTACAATTGTGAAATGTAAATATAATGAACGTTTTTCTCATAAATGTCAAAACCATTATCTCCATTATCTTCATTATCGACAGTAAAGCAATGTGTTAGCATTCTCATTCTGATGAACTGTGCAATTCCTGTAGGTTTTTACACATATACTAAATATTAAACTGAACAATGTCTTACAAGTTTTCTAAAGATGCTACAAATAATACATTCTATTTAAGAGTAACAAATCTGTAGAAATGTTCAGGCCATCTACAGGTTATTTTCATAAGGGTTTGCCTCACTTGTCTATTGACCTGTGTTTGCACTGTTGTTTTCATTTATCAAACTTTATACAGGAGGATATTTTGTGTTTGTACACAGAATATGATTTAAAATACTATAACACGTTGCAGGAGAGTGCTTTGTTAATAGTTTTCTTCAGGAAAACCACAGAATTGTAACATTCAAAACAAACACAATTACAGTAGCTCATTTAGATTGTGCAAATTTAAAATCCTAATAAAAACTTATTATATTGTCCAAGATGGGAAGTTTGCTTTGTAGGCAGATTAATGACATAACACAGTACACTATCATTTAATATAACATGAATCCATTAACATACATTATACATAAGAAAGAAAAAAATATATTTTGTGAGAATAAAAGATGACGTAGTTCTACTGCACTTGAATCTACAGTATGTAGTCTAAATTGACACCCAGATGGAAAGAGGTCTGACTCACTTTGCAAGGAGTGGTCAATAATTTTGCTGGCTACCTTCACCATCCTGTCTGTTTTTATTGCATGTGTTTAGGTTTTCAAACCAGGCTACCACAGTGAATGTTTGGGCAGATTCAATGAAGGTTCTATAGAATAAGGTCTTGAAATGTTGCTTTTTAAGCCAAAGACACACAATGTTGAACGCTTGATTCAAACTATGATGTTTTGTTGCCGATCTGTAGATCTGTTGTGTAGCTGTAAGTATAGAAATGAAGAAGCACTAGTAATAAAGAACATAACCTTTACTGAACAATGTGGCTATTACATTCCTTTTTACTATTATTCTACTTCTTCTGTGAATAATGTATGTTTGGATGTTTCCAATAACTGAAATAACGAGTAACAAGAAAGTACTGTACTCACCACTATCACTTCAATGGGAATAGGTACTGGGATCTTATGCTGGTATTTAGTATTGATTTCCTTGACCACCATTACAATAAGAATTGTCAACAACCCAGCAGTCAGGTCTGCAATGTTGGTTTGCTGAATGTTTTTAAAAATGTCAATGATTGGCTAAAGAAGAAGAAAAAAAAAACAGTGATCTTTTTAATACTTTGCCAAAGTTGGTTTAGTTTAAGACTAATGTTTGTTCATCCATCCATTTTTCTATGGATTGGTACAGTGTGATGGGGAACCAGAGCAATGGGTGTAAGGCATGGTACACCCTGTACAGGATGCCAGTCCATTGCAGGGCACTTACTGACACACTCACACTTTTCCAAACCAGTTAACTACCAGTACATCTTTAGACTGTGGCCGGATAGTGGACCAACCAGAGGAAACCCATGCAAACACAGGGAGAACATATACTGTATACTCAAAACAGGTAGCACCCCAGGTCCACTGTGCCACCGTGTCGTCTCTGACTTTAGTTTGAAATGTACTTAATTTATGCAGAGTTAAGAAAGTGTTTTCAGGTGTTTTAAAATATAGCTTAGAAAAGATGCTGTTTTTCAAATGATTATCCCATTTAAATCAAGAGTCACATCTAAAGGACAGCAACATGGCAACATAAGAATGCGAGAATACTCTGAACTGTGGAACTGACAGAAATTGTATTTTTCTGTGAAACTCTGAAATTCCCAAGATATTTGTAGGAAAAAATACTCACGTATATAATAGATAAAACTCCGTTGTAATTTCCTGTTGGTACAGCGAGGACTATTTTCACTTGAGAGACCAACACTTGGAATGCAGCTGCAGTGGTAAATCCTCCAACCAAAGGATCAGAGAGATACCGGACTATAAAGCCAATCTGCAACACTCCCATACCCAGCTGTAAAACAAAATGATCACTACAGAGTTTAAACTGTACAGCATGGACGAATGACAGTAGCATGACTGACAAAGCTCACAATGTTAAACTTCGCCTCAAAACGTGTTGCTTGAGAAGATTTAAAAGTGCCATTATTCTGTCATGCCAGGAAGTTGTAAGGGCTGCACTCTGCTCTACTATACCGTATGCATAATACTACCAAATTCCTAAATTCCTGGTGGTGATACTTGTTTTAAATATAAACTAATATGTGTGGGGTCTGGGTCTTTGCAATCTGACTGACAAATTCAACTTTACTGCTGAAACAGATCACATTGTTCCTAATATCTGTAGAAACAGTAATTAATAGATGAGTATTTTCTTCATTGGTTTTACCTGGAAAAATCCAATGAGATAGGTCATTGCTATAGCCACAAGTACTCTTTGTGCGTCCTGGGCATTTGTATCAATTATAACTGTTCCATTGCCACTTGTCCCATTAATGGTCTTTATGAAGTTGGAGTCAGGAGTCATGGATTGAACCACTGATCCTATCATCAGAGAGGTCACTGCAAAGGGGCCTGTTGAGAAGTAAATAGAGGTGCAGACCATAGTAAAAATGAAACACTCCCACACACAGTATCATGTGTGAAACAAAGTATCATGTGGCCCAGCTACATTTCATTCTTGTCTTCCTAATTTCGAAGCATGTGCTAAGCTATACAGAATATGGGAAATTGTCACAATATTGCTGATAAATATTGTAATAAAAAGTTCTTCTATAAGTTTATTAAAAAAAAAACTGAACATGGTTGGAATTTCTGTGCAACATTTTAATGAAGTGGCATGTCAAAACACATTACACGTTCAAGCTTACCTATAGAAATGTGTCTTGAGGTCCCCAGAATGAAATAGGGTAAAATGGGGAAGAAGGCTGCATACAGACCATATTTGGGAGGGACTGCAACCAGCAGTGCATATGCCAGTCCTGCATGACAAAACAGGAAGGTAAAAACCTCATTAGGTCTAAGTCCTGTCATACATTAGAGGTTTGCATACCCCAAAAATCTTTTTTCTTTTCAGTCACACACCTCAAGAGGCACATCCTGAGTTGTGATGTAGAAAGTAAAGGGGCTTTTAGGACTAATGATTCCAGGGAAACAGAGCCAGAGAACTACGGAAGAAGACCCCCACTGCCTAGTTTTGAATAAAGCTCTCTGAGTCTGTAAACGGTCCCAGTAGAGGTCTGTGATGGCAGCCCATCTGACTGAGACTGACAGAGAAGCATGTAATGCTTTGCAAATCATCAAGAAAAGCTGAAAAGCCACATGACAAGAGACAGAAAACAAATAATGCTGACAGATATAATTTTCAATTTAGTGTATTGTACATGTAATTATAAACTATTAAGAAGGTTTAATGTAGGACACAATAAAAGCATGAAACAATATTATTTATGACATCTTGTTGAGATGACTTCTAATTTTGATTATATTGATTAAATAAATAATAATTAATTATAATAATTGCTTACACTTATATAGTGCTTTTCTGGACACTCCACTCAAAGCGCTTTACAGGTAATGGGGACTCCCCTCCACCACCACCTGCATGATGCGACGGCAGCCATAGTGCACCAGAATGCTCACCACACATCAGCTATCAGTGGGGAGGAGAGCAGAGTAATGAAGCCAATTCATAGATGGGGATTATTAGGATGCCATGATTGGTAAAGGCGAATGGGAAATTTGGCAAGGATGCCGGGGTTACACCCCTACTCTTTTCGAGTAATGCCCTGGGATTTTTAATGACCAATGAGAGTCAGGACCTCAGTTTTACGTCTCATCCGAAGGACAGCTCCTTTTTACAGTATAGTGTCCCCGTCACTATACTGGGGCATTAGGACCCACATGGACCACAGGGTGTTGGCCTCACTAACACCTCTTCCAGTAGCAACCTTAGTTTTTCCCAGGAGGTCCCCCATCCAGGTACTGACCAGGATCACACCTGCTTAGCTTCAGTGAGTTACCAGTTGTGAGTTGCAGAGTAATATGGCTGCTGGCATTTTCCAAAGAGTCTTAATATGTTGTTGAAATTGCAATCCTGTATCCATCAAAAGCCCACAATTTCTGACAAATTCTAATTTCAGCAAAGAATTGAAAACAGAGAATTGGAGGCAACTTCTTTACACAAAGGGTTGAGAGGAGTCTGAGACTCGAGCCAGTGGGAGTCACAACCGATACCACGATTTCTTTCAAGAGACAGCAGGGTGAGATCCTCAGATCACTTTGCTACTCTGCAAGGTGATTCAAAAGCCTCCTCCAGCACCATCTTGAAAGAAACTGGGGTATCAGCTTCCGTGTCACGGCTGGATGCCTTTTTCCAGACTCCTGTAACATTCAGAACATCCAGAAACACACCACATTACTCTGTATATACTGAAGCACTTCCACTTAAAAGGTGAGATAACATGAGAATGTGGCAGACCCTCGAACTCCATGTGCAGTTCTGAATTCAGAAGACTCTCTTGTTAGTTGTGTGCCTCAATGTGTCAAAACTCAAAAAGAAATAAAAGAAGGATAAATTGACAGAGCTTAATCTCCCTTGTATGAACATGAAAGTTCAGGCCCTCCATTTTACATCATCAGCTGCTCCTTGAGAACTGCGTTTGCAAACCTTTATCATTTACCTGGTTAACAGTCATGTGTTGTTTATTTAAAGAATTCTGGCCTTCTGAACAATCTTGAAAGTCTGCCCATTGTTCCATATCAGTTTAATTAATTCTCCAAAAACAATCAATGGTAGCACTATTAAAAATATCTTAAATCTTTTTAGAATTCTTTATCAGCACTAATAGAATAATTCAAGATTTAGACACAATGTTTCAGGAATTAGAAGACATAGAAAGTCAAAGCCAAAGAGAATATCTGTGACTTGTCTTTTTCCAAGTCCAATTCTAGACATGTAGAGTATGTACAGTATATCTCTATAATATTTTCCAATTGAAACATCCTGCAATTAATTTACTAAAGCTAATAACCTGGATACTTCAATACATTCAGATGTGGCATACAGTGAATGATGGATTAAAATCAATAAGATATCTAGTGAATATACTATACAACAACACTGCCAGCAAACATGAAGCACACAATAAAGCAAAATGTGGCATGTATTTTTCTTTGATTTTACAAGACCTACATGTCCCTTTGACCTTCTTTGATTTTACAAGACCTACATGTCCCTTTTCCCTTTGAACTACTGTTGCTTTAGTATCGGTGAGTGAATGAACTTATTCTTGCCCAAATCATAACTTTATACTGTACCTTCTCTTTGGAAAACTGCTGTGCGCATGTTACGATGATGCCCCACATGTCCCCGTTGGATGATACTTACCCAGTAAAGTACAAACAAGTCCAGTACTGACTCCTGAGATAATGTCACTGGGCAGCCACTCCTTTACTCTGTAGTTAGGCAACCAGTCCAGAATGGGGAACATACTCTTGACCACACGTAGGGCCCTTTTGCTCGAGCAGCTTCAAGATAAACAACAGGACGTGTTCAGTAGAAAAAAAACTCAACTTTATTGGGTGAATTCTGTGTAAAAAATCTCCTCCGTTCTTAGCTTTTTCATAGGCTGCATATCATATTGCATGGATTTAGTGTTGTCCCTGCTGAAAATATTAGGCTATTCCCCTAAATCTAGGCACAGGAACAATTCTCAAAGTTGACTGTGAGGGCCTGTAAAATGGAAGGACATGTGGTACAAAGATGATAAGTGATAAAAAAAGTGATAAGCCTTTGATAATTTGTTCAATCTGCTTCTGCCATGAGTTTTTGAAATAAATTAAAAAGAGAGCAGAAAACATATCAGAATATTTGGTAGAGTATAGCTCATTTTATCAAAGCATGACAGTTGTCTACACATCCAAAGAAGGAAAGAGTTTGGCAAAATAGTACTCTGAAAAAAGACCTGTGAAGGTGCCTTTTCTCTCTTCTTTTACTCTCTGAAACTGTGAGAAGCACAAAGACAAATAAAAAGAATCCAGACTACAACTTACACCAATTAGAGTGTGTGAAAGGGTGTTGCAATCTCCCAACAAAGAAAGTACTTACGTGCATGACTTTTGAAGTTTGTTTCGGAAAGTCTTATGCACTCTGGCTTTAGTTTCATTGTCTTCTTCAAAAGTAGGTTTAGAGTAAATTGGCCTTGCGACAAAGTAATTATGTTCAGGAGAACGATCCATTATCTCTTTTCTAAGGAAACAACAGATAAAATTAAACATACATGTTTAGTAAACATTTTACTGATTTATATTACACAGAAATGTCAAAATAAAGTATGATTTTATTATTATTTGGTTAGAATAAGAAAACCTTGATGTACTATCAGTGCACGTTGGTAGTGTTTAAATTTTTGACACTGCAATTTTCCCTGAAGTAAAATATACAAACTATAGAAGTGATATTAAAACTTGGTTTAGCCTCATACAATGTATCCGAAATGATTTAAACATTTCATTTAAAGTAAAAACAAGGACAAATAAAATTAAAAATTTACAACATTTCCAATTTTACCAATGTACAATTTACAACATTTTTATTTTTAAAAATGCTATATGCAGTTAAATAATAATGATGTACTATTAAATGTGATCATTATTATTTTATAATCTGAAAAACTATTGCTTGAGTATTTGACAAATATCTGCAAAATCATTAAAATAATGTAGCTTGTGTTATAATATTAATTTGCTTACTGTTCTCAAATTCAGGTAATACTTGTAAGTAGATTGGTTAATTATTGCTTATAATTGTATTGCTTTTTTTGTTTTACCATACATTATAGTGAGTATATATTTTCAAAATCCTTTTTTTCTAATTTTAAACATATTTAATATACAGAAAGAGACGAAGGTCTTAGAAAATCTCTAAGTTTTTCTAAGCTACAGTTTCTCACTGACTATTATAAACTGTCCAACAGAGAAACAGGCTTAAAGAACTTATCACTATTTCAGATGAGCTTTTTGAAAACAGGATTGTGTTGTGTGATTTTCTCGTAGTCTGAAAACGAACAAAATGTAATCTACTTTTACCTGCAACTGAGAAAATAAGGAACTCTTGGTTATTTTCTTTTCTGCAGTTTATTAACAGAAAGTTATAGGTGGTATTTTAAACAGGATCAGTAGTAAAGGTGCTTAATAATGTCACTAAAGTTCTTTATTGCTTACCATGAAATGCAGCTTGATCCTTTAATTTAAAAATGTAAATGCATGAAGAATCAATACACATTTTGACAGTGTGGTATTCTCTAATCCTACCATTGTCATATGATTAGTAAATACTATAATACATTCATTTAATTTTTTAAAAAAAGTCAATTTTAATTTAAAATATATTAAATTATACTGTATATTCCACAAAATAAGATGTCACTCATATCCCTCCTCATATTTTTCAAAATGTTTTTGTAACTTGTCTCACAAAATAACTGTCAATAGCATTTTGATTAACCCAAAAAATGAATAATGAATTACCTTAGCTTATTGGTATCCCTCTTTTAGAAAGAAAAATCCAAACTGTTGAATTTTGCCTTTGGTTTTGCTGTTTATATAGGTTTCAGCAAACACTCTGTTGTTATTATACAAGGAAAATGAGAACTAACTGGCACAAGGTTGGTTTCAAATGTCATCCCTCCCCATTTATCATATCTGTTCTGATTTGCAGTTACTTTTTTCATTTTTGTTCTTTTGCAAACAAATTTTGTTCCAGATTGCAGGGTCACACAATGTCTTTGCGTAAAGTGAAAAAAAAAACAGAATAATCCTTCATGGATCATTATTGTATTCTCCTTTTTCATATTTACTTAGAAAATATTTAATTCTAACCTTCATAGGCTTTCTAAGGCTGGTGTAATTATTCACTGGAAACCAAATACAGAACACGATCTGGTATTCAGTTTAAGAAAAATCTTTTTTTTTATCAAACCTAAATAGTAAAATCTTTCATTGCTGGTGAAGTTTCAACAATAATGACAGCAACGCGCGCTGGGTCTGCCCCACAGAACAGACAGACTGCAAGGGTTTCCCAGCTCTTATATACAGTGAGAAAGACGTTTGTTTCACAATCTGAGTGCTTGTCCTGTTCTTTGATATGTAATTACTTCTTGTCCTGCTCTGTCTTGCTCTAGGTTCTGTCCTTTTATATGCTTTATCCTTTTTATGGTGCATTTGTTGGTGTTGTCTGTCTTTTATTATGAAGCATTAAGTCACTGGGGCTGCTAAAGTAAGTCAGCTTTATGGCATCTTAGCGTAAGGTTTTTTGAAGGCTAAAATAACAGACCCCAGCAACTCCTCCCACAATGTGCTTAAGTGGTGATATTACGATGCTGGATAAGTGAGATATATACATGTCCCACTTCAGTCCCTCCTGTCAACCACCTGGCAACAGCCCTGGTAGGTTACCTATGATTCTCAACGTACACATCAGCAGAGCCCGTCGATTCATTTGACCTGACGTTTTGGGTAATTTGCACTCCTCTTACAGCCTTAGCCATTCCCTATTGGAAGGACCTGAGCTTGGGAGTTTTAGATTTGATTTCCGGAACTCTGTTCAAGAATTGGTGGTGTAGGTGAGGGGTCACTGGTAAAACCTTAGTTCCTCTTCTCTGACTAGAAGGACCAATTACTATTTCATTAATAGAAATCTCACAGTTTGGTAATAAATAATTATGCTAGTCACAGAAACTAGCACTGAGGCTCCTGATGTGGCAACTGCCCAATGTATCACCAATTGTGTCAAGAGCTATATACACACCAATCATCACAGAGTCTGCCAACCTCATCACTATTCCGTGCTCCAGACTGACGAAGTTCCTCTTCTTGAATGATTGTCCTGCCTGTTAATTACTGGACACTGCAGGCTAAACCACCTCTCCTAGTTCTCTATCTTCAGTCAACCTGCACTCCTCCAGGGTTTCAATGACAATAACCCTCTAGTGTGAAGGAGCCTGACACTTGTGGGCAGAGCGTGGATTCTAGTGGCATCAGGCAGCACAGACCTTGCAGGCACACCATGCCTCGACAGCGAGAAAACAGCACTGGGCTGGCAACCTCTGTACAGCCCTTAAAGAATTAGTGATTGGTTCAGAAGAGGTTATATCAGAACTGGCATTATTTAACATATAACCACTGCCACAAGAGAATGTAATCTAATGAACTGACTCTGTGCATTTCTCACTGAGTGGTCACCTGTGCTATTCCACAGACTATATTTAATAGCATTCATGTTCCTTGTGATATACTTGGCTTTCCTAAATAAGCATAATTACTAAGCTTCATGAATATTATGCAGAGCTATCTGAGGAAGGGTATACCAGTAAAGGATTCATAATGACTTCCACATATCCACACCATTGCGCAAATCACCATCAATTCACTACTAAATGAACTACTTTAAATTATCATGTTTAACTTGGTCAATTCGGTATCACACTCTCCAAAAGCTTGACTTGTCATTGCTCAAATGCAATGTAGATAATCCAGTTACTTCAGAATTAATGTAAAATACCATTTTAGACACTAGACTGCAACATATAACACTTTCCTTGGTTGTCATAAAGAATATCATCAGATGCCTCTGCAATAACAGGATATTGCACAGACCTCTGATGTGCGCAAAATAAAATACGACACTTATACCTATAGTGTACCTATATTTAAATTTACCATCTGTCAGTTTATTCCCCCCCTCATAGTTCAATCCAGTTTCCCAGATAAATGGACCATCTCTGTCCATCCTGAAGATTGGGATCCATAGTTCGGATAAGAAAAATAAATCCTTCATGTTAACTTGAGGTCGTTGGGGTGATGACTTGGTGGTCCACTAGGTCAAGTCAATCTCGGAACCCAAAAGTCCAGGTTTCTTTGTCAATCCAGTCCCTCCTGTTGGGAGTTGAACACACTCTCCCAGGCCTCAAGCAGATTAATTGATTGAGTTGCGTATTACGACTGATAGGGTAACGGAAGCAGGGCCTTCACCCTTCGAGAGCTCAGATATTAAAACACCTGTAATGAGATTATTTAGAAAGCAGCTACTGGCCCTCCTGTTGAAGAAACAGAATGTCAATAACAGAGTTTTTTTAGACCAATTATTCTCTCTACTTTCAACTTTTTCTCACAAGATGTCCAAACAAACACAGGTCGTTATTCATTAAGACTTCATGTTGATCTGGATAGAAATCCTGCCCAGTGGACTAGACGCATGCTCTTCCCTTGTCTCCTAACTAAGGGAGTTATGATCAATCACCAGTTACCTCTTAGCTCTGATCAGCCAGGGCCTACTGGTCTGTGCTCCTTCCGTAAGTTAACAGAACTGATTGTAATGCCCAATTACTTGTCATCAAATTTCATTACTTAACAGGCCAGACTCTTGTGACTCTATCAGTACCTCAGAGTTCCTGTATTTCTCTGCTGAGAATACCTCTGGATTCCCTTCTCACCAGGTGTTGCACCCTGCTGTTTCCATTCCCTGCTCCCTGCTGTAAGCTGGTAGACTTACAGGTACCCTTGTGAAGCAGTCAATCAGTGAACATGAGTCTGGTGGCCAACTCCTCGCTTAACACTCAGCTCAGCAGTCATTGGTGATTAAACTGCTAGCACAACTGGTCTATACTCATATTATTAATAATGCAATCCTAATAATATTATCAACCTTAGCTTCCTTAGGGGGTGCCCGCCTGGGAATATTGCTGGCACAATACCGTCTCTCAGCTCACCTTGTTCCATTTAGGGACTTTGCCTCGCCCCAGGGGGAAAGCACCCTGGTTTAGAGACCCACCCCGAGCTCAGGGGAACCACTTCTTCTCTTGGTTACAAACCAAGCTCAAAGGAACCGTGTCTTGTCTCAGCTTAGGGATTTTGCCCTGAATCACACAGAGACTTCTCCTTACTCTTTTCCTTATAAAAGATTCTTTATATTCTCTGTATGTTTCTGGACCTTCCCTTACGGCAACCTAATTGGGTGGTAACATAAAAATCTGGGAATTACCGGAGACCTGGAGAATCCTGTCGAATACGCCAACTGTTGTGGGAAATTCTTCATCAGAGGTGCATGACACTGTCTTGAGCAAATTCAGTCTTATTGAGCTCAATAATGACAGCAACGTGCGGTGAGTCTGCCCCACAGAACAGACAAACTGCAAGGGTCTCCCAGCTCTTATATGCAGTCAGAAAGTAGTTTGTTTCACAAACTGAGTG